ATCAGTTTTGTAAACAACACTGATACTGAAGTAAATGCCGAACTCAAATTGACATCACCTTGGCGAGTGTTTTGGTTAGGTCTAACAGTTGAACGATGAATATAAGAAAAGCAATATTATATAAAAGGAACTGCCCATGGGAAAGCGTACTCTACGTAGAAAGCAGCATACCTTAATACTTAACAGTTCCTAAGCAGACAGCGGTAATTGTAAGAGAAAACCAACCAGAAGAGTCATTCTTCAAAGGTCCACATAGTGGCCCAATAAGTGTGAGGCAGAGGAGATTATTGGCTTGGAAGTTCGCAACAATTTTAATTTTTTACCATACAAGATCGAATTGCCCTTCAACAAACTCGTATCAAAGCTAAAACTCTTGACACTGATATTCTTGAGCTAGCTCAGATCGAAGCAGTTGCCCCATCCATCTACATACTAAGAAAAGACCCCTGCATGGAATTTCTATAGAATCTTTCATAGTACAGAACACTTATCGATCAGTTCGTCGATTAATCAGCGCGGCCCTTGGGGGCGCCAGCGCCCTTTTGTGCTCTGCGTCTCTTCAGTACTTACCTAATCTAATCATCCCACCCATCTCGGAGCTCCTACCATTCTAAAAGTTAGGGAAGAATCTCCGCGGTGGGTGAACCAGTTGGATGATTATTGCTTACCCCATCCCAGCTTTTTGCACGAGATAATCAACTCTCCCACCTCGGAGCTCTTCCCCTAACTTTTAGAAGGGGAGAAGTCCATCTCTGCGATCTCTATGCACTTTGCCGCCGGTGTCAGAGACGCAGAGCACAAAAAGGGCGCTGGCACTTCCCAACTACATTTTCACCGAGCATTCTAATGAAAAGGCAAAGACCTTCTTCCCGTTCGAAACTGGAGATTACCACCCCCCCCCCTCCCTGCCTACTTTACCATTACCACAGTTGGCATCGTGCCAAACAAACCTGTTCCAATAAACGGAAAAGGTGCAAGAGCTGCTGACCTGACCCATTGCGCTGCGTCTCTACCCCACACCCGCTGTAGGCTAGAACGCAGAGGTCGCTGCAATCGCGAAGATATGCCGTGGCAGCGCTGAAACACGCGAATAGCGCTCGATCAATGGGCGCCTAGAGTTGTGAAAGGACACAACAAGGGTTGTGAGGATGATTGCTATTGGAGATGGGGTTTTTTCTCAAGTAGGCGAAGATGTTGTTCACTATGATGGACTTCACGTCAAAACGTTTGGTAGAGCGATTTTGAGCGAATTTGCGGTTTGTGAGATGTCACCTAGACCCTTTCGTCTGACATTCCTACAGTTTCAGCATTCACAATTTATTTTCCCTGATCCTTACAAATAAATTGTGAATGCTGAAACTAGGAATGTTAGAAGAAAGAGAAACCTGTGACACTTATGTCAAAAAAGAAGTGTAACTCAATTGGTTCCATAACGATCCATAGCTAATCGACCTGCTTAAGGAGATACTGGCCCGGATCCATTGGATATCAATTTGATACAGCTTAATCAAGAAATGTGAGCGTAATACAAAAATTTTAAGCCTTTTCATGTCTATTTCATCTTTGTGTACTGAAACATCTCTTCCTTGGGAAACGAGGCTGAGGTGACAACGTCATTTCGTTTCTTTACGCATGGTTTTTTCCTTCTGTTCTGCGGTCGCTGCAGTTTGACAAGCACAGCAGTTAGAGACTCAACTTGGCAGGAGTGCGCCAGACAAGGGCAGTCGACCTGTTGAGTCGGCACTGGTCTCACCAGTCAGACAACACAGCAGTTAGAGACTCGATTTGGCTAGAGTGCGTCAGACGAGGGCAGAAAAATACCGTACACGGGCGAATTTAAAGGACCCGAGTTCAAGTAGTCCGTAGACCGCTGGAGAGAGCGCAGGGTGTGGGACCGCAATACCGTAACACGCGCTTATGTGCTTAGTTGCAGCTGGCCTAAATTTAATAGTGAAATGAAAGATACCAGGATGGGAAATGTACAGAAAGGGAAGGTGTTGGGTGTCAGCTGCAGGTTATAACAATAGGTAATAATCAGTGAGGTTAGGGCGACAAACATGTATTCAAGTTCTGAAAACTTCTGCTAGTTTGACGTAGGACTTTCAAAGCAAAAGTCGTGTTGTGGTATAAGCAGAGACAGGCACTCGATAATTACTCCCGGGGTAGCACAACCCACACCCTAGTTGCTTTAGAGGAAGATTCATAATAAATGATAACTCCTAAAAGGAACAATTCTGTCCGCACATGCACAAACGATTTCTCAACTAGGGCGCAATGCCTAAAGTTCCGATTTAATGTGAATAGTTTCTTCAAAGGAGCTCTTATAACAGACCTGCCTTTGGCTCAATCAGTCGAGTGAAGCGCCTCACCCAACACCTTCCCTTTTCTGTCCATTCAAAGGAATTTGTTGGGTGCTGTGCTCTCCTTTCCTTTCATCAATTCCCCATCCTGGTAGCTTTCATTTCACTTTTAAATTTAGGCCAGCTGCAACTAAGCACATGAGCGCGGCGCGGGTTACGGTATTGCGGTCCCACAGCGAAATTCGCAGCCGCCCCTCAGTTCCCTATATGATCCAGCATGACCGTTTTTGAAGTTTATAAGAGAAATTCATAAGTTTTCCGGAATGCTCCTTTAGATGGGCTTGGTAATAATGCCCACATTGAGTGATTATGGATCTTTATTATAGAACCGGCACTCAGTCTAATGGTCATTCAATTATGGGTCCAGAAATTACTTGTCCTCGCTTGAAAACAATTCTAAGATCCACTGGAGATAAAAAAAAAAACGTGGCACCCTATAAAAGGAAGTGATAGTGGTTGTCTACAGTGGAGATGTCAAGGCAGGAAGCAAATCCTGGTTTTTGCCAAGAAAGGTATAGCTCCTCTCTTGGTTGAACTGCACAGGTCTGCTTTACTTTTAACCTTCTACTTCTAACCGCCAGCAAGCGTTCGCCCTGAGTACGCAAATCAACACCGGAAACTCTCTGAAATTCTGTGTTGACACCATGTGAAAAGCCGGCGAATGGTGTAGAAAGATAATCACGCGCCCCACATGTTATAAAGCTTACAGAGAAGAGAGTTACGGAGCGGCTGGGAAGTTCTATCCAATCCTGGGAATTCTCCTGAAGTAACACTATCCAATAACCATTCATTCGGTAGTTTAAAACTTCTCTTCAGAGAAGGATTTTTGGGATTATACTACGGTAGAATCCTGTATTCGAGAGTCTCTCGAAGGGCGCCCACGAATTTTTAGGACCTTGAGCCTTGAGCCGCAGCCGGAGCACTGACCAAAAGTGCTAGAAAGCAACGGCGAAGTGAACATCATAAAGCTCTGAGAAAATCGTTGCATATGTCGCAAGACTTATGGGCCGCCTAGAATAAACAGTTGATTAGCGAGACGGCTTGCCCTATCCCGAAAGTAGGCTTATCAATGAACGCTGACCGACACAGCTCAGCATATGATATCAGTTGATATCAATGATTAGTGACCCTCTAGCATTCATATTCCACTGGGAGCCGAAAATCATACATGATATTATGCTGCCCTTCTCATAATCATACGTTGAGGAGGGCAGGAAATCAATTAGCCTAAATGATCTCAAACCGTGCTTAACACTTGTAGAGGAACAACCTATAGACTTACCACTCCCTCATGATCAGAGGCGTTGTGGCCCCTTTTTGCTAAATAAAAAACACCGTTAGTAGTCAACAGAGTGGTCGGTAAACTCATCCAGCAAACGTTTGTGGAAACGGGATCAATTGTGAATCAAAATAAGAATGGGAAAGCCTGAAAGAAGAAACACAAAGGAACAGGTGCACGGTTAGTGTCGAGCCTGCAAGTGCTATTCCTAAGAAGAAGGAACTAATTAGGAGCAGAACAACCACCGTAATGGGAGGAGGAATGGGCGCGGAAAGTGTGCCGAAATTGGCGCGAACTTCTACCGAAGTCATCTATGCGTCAATTCGGTACTATTCTACTACATATTACACCCCCAGGCTGTTACACTCCAAAAACTCGAAATTTTAATTTTCTATGAAACTTCGCGCATAGGGGTAATTCGATGCTCTTGATAACGAAAATGACCTTCATTTTTAGCGTTGGCGCCATTTGGCTCCAATTGACGCCAAATTGGGCCAATTTAAGCCAAATGGCGCCAGCGCCAAAAATGAATGTTATATTCGTTAACAGGACCTCAAATAACCCCTAAACGCAAGTTTTCAGCAAATTTGGTGAAAACACCCTTGGCGCCAAATGGCGCCAGCGTCAAGAGTGAAGGTTATATTCGTTATCAGGGCATCGGATTACCCCCATAAGCGAAGTTTCATCGAAAATTAAAATTTTGAGTTTTTGGGTGTGTAATAGCGGAATAGTGAGGGACGGTCAAGTCGTGCGTCCAGGGTGCACGCGGCAAATGGCGCGGCGAAATTCATACCTATCCTGACGACCTCAGCGCCTGCTATTTGGGCCTAATTTTGAAGTACAGTAGAATAGTAGGATCAGCTGACCATACTAATCTACCCTGCTTTAGATTCGGGCCCCGAAGATAGGCGCCGGAGTCGTCCAAATTCGCCACGAACTTCGCCGCGCAATTTGCCGCGCGCGCCCTCGGACGCACGACTTGACACACACCCCGGAATAGTACCGTCAATTCAAATGTTTCACAAAACAATGCAGACAAGTCGCTCTGTTCCACAGCACAGTTCCAATGCGCGTAGATCGTTGATTTTCTTTATTTAATCTCGAGAATTCCGATTCTGCATCGGTTTCTGCTTTTCCCCTCTCCTTCAGCATGAGTTACCACACGAGGGTTTTTTTTTGCGTTTAGCGCTTAGTACAGATGAACTAGTATCTTATTTTAGTAAAAATCTAAAATATTTGCTTTGTTTTATTGATAATATCGCCTCCTATCATCAGCAGAGCATAGACTTTTGATTCAAGGAAGTCTTAGCTAGAATCTGGGTACCATATGGGACCTTTTTTATTCTAGGACCTTCCTCAAAATGTCAGGCGCATGGGAGTTCATCAAAAGACACAAAGGCAAGATTATCGCTCTTGGTGCATTGACTGGAGCTGCTGCTGGATCTGCTTATGCATACTACACGCAACAAGAAGCTCAACAACACTTGCTGTCGAGCTTAAGTGAGAACGAATTCAGATTTCAGGTCGGTGGTCGTCTATTTAGTTTTGTTTTTCATCTCGAGGTATTTCGTTTAGTCGAGTTCATTCGAGTGTTATGTAAGTTGCCACCGTAAAATTCTTGAAGGAGAGCTCTTGAAATCTCAGCTACCGATTATCTCGTTGGAGTTCGGGAAAAAGATTCGCTAGAGAGGGGAAACGTATGCTTTCTGACCGGATACGCTGTGAATGATCGTTTTGTTGGTCTTACTTGGGCAAATCCTTTACGGGTTGCGCCATGTTTTCACTTCCAGTGGAAGAGTGTGGGCTTTGAGTGCGTATTGGGTCATTGCTAGTTACAGCTGCTCAATTGCTAGTAGTATATCTAATGGCGCGGGTGAAGTTTATTGCCTGGCTTCCAATACTGGACCACCATTCGAGATGCAGGAGTAGTTCTGAATGAAGGTCGAATGCCTGGTACATACAATAGCTAGGCTGGCCAACGGCTATCAGTCATCTTATGATTGCTTGAGTTGAAATGGGTTGCATAAATGTCCGCGTTTTTCGTCGTACTGTACTGACTCTACCCTACTTCAGCCAAGGCGGCATTTTGTCTTCAATGCTCAACAGCGTGCTTGTGATAAGTCAATCCGCGACATTGTACCCAATTTGAGTAGTCTTATTGAGGTTTGTTCCGTGGGCCTTAGCATTTACCATCTTTTCTCCGTTGACATTTGTTTTTGGACTTTTCATGTAATATTTTCAGGATAGGTTCCCTATTGAACAGCTCACTGAAAAATTGAAACAGAATAGTGATATGAGTGTTGAGGAAAAAGTGGAGATTTGGGAAAAGATCAAGGTGGAGTGGTTTGCTTACGTTCGAAAATTCTTTGTTGAGGCGCAAGTGCAGTGCTTAATATTCAGGTACTAAGCGTGGCTCGTATTATGGGCGTAGCCTACTCGTATTCTTTACTAACGCTGGCGCTGAAATCTCAAATTTCAATTCTTGCCGCTGACATCTGTACTGAGTTTGAAAGGACAATTTGTTACACACCTACATGGTAAGAGAAGAATTATTCAAGATTTCTCCTATTCAACGATAGGTGACGTTGCAGGTTGGATACGATTAAAACGCAGGTCGAGAACCTTTTGGGTTACGAAGCTGAACCGATCAGAGATCCGTATATTGAAGTGAATAGCAAGCAAGTGGCTTCCAATAGACAAGTTTTCATACGATGTATTGAATACCTAACTACTACAGGTGCTCTTTTTTTGATTTTTTTTTTATCAGAGAGCTATATTTGAGAATTTCTTAATTGTTCGTAAGTGCGCGTTTAACAAATAAGTGCAGAACCAAGTATTTGAGCATGTATTTGATGTGACAAGACGTTGATCTCTCTACTTCCTCTCCTAAATATAAATATATATTAGAACAGCTGGGGCACTCTAGTGCTAGTGCATGAGCAATTTTTCTCATTGTCAAACTTACCACTCCATTTCTATTTCCTATCTTTGCTTCCATGAGAAAGCAGACCATTCGTAGAGCATTCTCAAATTTCTACTCTCTCCCATCACCCTAATATATAAGTTTAGGGGTCGCAAAGCTGTTGACTGTAATAGAAGAAACATGCAAGGAATTTTGTTCATCGATTTCATTGACGGATCGTGTCAACCAGGACAGCCTACGGGATGTGCTCGATCAAATAGATGGAAAATTATCTGAACTGGAGCCATGTTTCTTTTCAAAATTAGTCGCCCCGCTCTCAGAGGAAGAGGTTGGCCTTCCAGTTCATTCTGTATATTTTTTTTGCTATTCCCTCGTTACAGAGGGTGTCTGACGATGGAGTACTGCAGCTTCTAACACGTCTGGTGAAGGCTCTGGAATCGAAAGAATGTCGTGAAACGCTAGTGAGCCTTGTCGACTTTTATCTCACAGCGGCAGTTCATGTGAGTGTTTTCAACTGTTCATTTCCATTGAATATTTTTAATAATGGTATAAACTCTGTATCTAGCTATCAATAATTCTGGTCTTTAAAGTCAAATAACCTTCATTTTCTTTCATTTGTTATGCTTTATTACTACTCCATTATATTTGCTCACAAGTAACCTCTCCAGAAAGCGCCTGAGAAGCCTGAAGTCCTCGCTAAATTGCTACCTTCTATGTCCGATGTGTATTATTTCATTTCTACTGACGGATATGACTCACCATTACAAAACAGCCTTTGCTCATCAGATGTCGATAACTTCGCTGGGTTCGTGTTTGGACTCACTAAGCAACCAGCACTTAGCAGTGCACTTATTGCTCAGTATAAATAGCATTTGTATCATATTTTCTTATTTTTTCATGTATCATTATCTCCTGCTTTTTGATCAAATGATATTGATTTATACGGATCGTAATTCTCACTTGACCACGTGTTTTCTAGTGCCATATCTTGCCAACTTTTCACCTTCACATTCCATCAAGCTTGCCTTCAAAATAAATAGAGAGAGTAGAGAGAGATATAGTGTATATTTTGTAATGTTTTGGAAATAAATATATTTATAGTGTTGTATGGAGGGCATGTATATACAGTAATGGGTTCCATAAAAATACCTGGCTAGTTTTCGCATGTGTTCAATCTGATGATTAATCCTCGTCGAAGCTGACAGGCTATGCCAAATGAGCGCAGGATTTTGAAATTTGCTTCGACTCTTGCAGCGTGTACTCCTGAGGTATGTGTGTTTCGTACCTTTTTGCCAATTTTATTTACTTTTTGCTTACTAAATTACTTATTTTCTTGTCTTATCGCCTTGATAGCTCTCATTTCCTTAAATTCAAAGAGAGGGTATAGGCTGCGGCATACGGTGCTTGTGTTTCGAGACAAGCCGAAAGAATAACGAAGGACGCCTGTGCAAACGAATTTTCAAAGTTACTTGACTGCGTCAAGAAACAGGTCACACTTTTGCTGTTTTTACCTAGTTATTCAAAGAAATGACTGACGCCAGATGCAGTTGCTCCGTTTCTTTTTCTTGGAGTTCTTTATACTTGGAATTCGCTATAGTTAAACAGAAGAATATTTTAGAAAAATAAGGCAAAATAAGTGACGAAGATGAAGGTGAAAAGATTAAAGAGGGCTAACCGAATTTTAACGTTCTTCAAGTACAACTATAAGATTATTCCACCCTTCAGGTAATTGAATAGGTTCACTTGGTCGAATGTTCACTCTAATGTCTAATTATCCTAGGGTTCTGGTGGACGGGACATTTACAAATGCTGCTCTTGCAAATAAAATAAATCTTCGGGAGCAGTTACCGAAATATCTAGGCGGAGATGTTGAAATCGTGACTACGAAATGTGTACTTGCCGAGCTTGGTGAGTTAGCTAATACTGCAAAGTTTAGAATGTGGAGTTTGATCGTTATCGTTGGGATTGCAAAGAAGGACTACACACCGAATTAAGGATGAGACATGGTGGCTTTGCAATTAGATTTCGATTCCTGATGCTAAGATTTCTGAAAAATCTCCCTTTCTCCGAAGACATTTGTCCGAAGTTCAGAAAGCCTTGGATCACCTGTTTATGGAGCGCTTGTGATTGCTCGTCAGTTCGACGTGGATGTTTGTCCGCATACTCCTAGCCGGCCAGCAGCTGAGTGCCTTGCGCATCTTGCTAGGCGTGCTACCAAAGGGAAAACAAGATATGTCATTGCTACCAATGTAAGTTTGTTAGAATTTCGTCCTTTCCGGGTTTTTCTAGGGTCGTAATCATACCTATTCCACAGAATGTTAGTTAAGATTAAGCGAGGATACGGTTTCTTATCTTAGGTTGTTGAACTCGCGTGGATCAATTCGTTCACTTAGTACATTGTTTTTCTAGGACGACTCGCTATCAGAGAAGTTGCGTACGATTGCTGGAACACCTATCCTCTACATAAAATACAACGCCATTCTGCTCGATCGAGTGTCAGAGGTGCTAAATTACTATATCCGTCAAATTGGATGAAAGGTCCGGCTTGCGTCTTAAAGAGCTAACCGCGACTCTACGTGACAGGTTCCCCAACGATAGTTGAAGACATGCACCGCTGTATATTATTTTAGATCTCAAAAAATGCCGTGGATGATATACACAAAAACGAACTTGAAAGCCTTAAAGCAATCAAAGCGGCAGTGTTAGGTGAACAAACCGTCAAAAAGAAGAAGAAGAAGAAAATAAAGGTACCCTTTCGTTATTTTTCTCTAATCAAAATAAATTCATCTCCGTTTTTTTGAGGGCGCTAATCCGCTGTCTTGCAAGAAAAAGAAGAAAGTCATCAACCCAGTAGTGCCCGTAAAGACAGGAGAGCGAACTGCCAGTGGCAAAAGGAAACGATCAAAACGGAAACCAGCCGCAACAGCTTCTCCGCTTGAAGGTGCTCAGGCATAGTTAGCATAGTTTATTGTGATTTACATGTGGTTACTACTTTCTTGTTATTGTATTATTAGCTGTTTACTGGTGAAATTCGTCGAATAAATTTTTTGTTTTTTGTCTGTTTACAGCTTTTGGAAGGATATGTGACCTAATTCATAGAAATATTCATGCGTCTGTTCAGTAGCTGTACTGTCATGGCTTTATTGAAGGTAAGAGATGAATACGGTATCTATTTGTCCTCGATCGACTCTCGTGGGGACCTTGTCCGCTCCATCGTCATCCTTACTTATTCTACCAGCCACTGAACATTATCCAACGCAGATTGTTGCAGGTGGAATAAACGGAGAAGTAGGTTTCTGATTTAGTAATTGTACTTATTCGACGAGTACAATACTGATAACAAGGAACGACGGACCGGCAAGGAATGACGTTGTTATGCTTACCGTTTCAATGTCTACCCAAGGTAATGGACCATACAATTAGTTGGGGAGTGAAGATCTACTTAAAAGGCACTGCTCACAAATAAACACAGTTTCTGAGTTCTCCCCTTAGGAATACCCAGTGACCCCCAGGGGTTACAGGAATGAAGCTGTCGGGTCCCGAAACTCAGCAGCCAGGGCATAGTGAGAGCCTCGTTACCGGATCGCCCGCATGCATCGCCTCCCGACCGATTATGTCGTCCAGTCCCCTTTTAACGTTTTTTCGAAGCCTTTTTCCCTTCGAACACCGGTTCACGCACTTTCTTCGCCTTCATCGCACTATCTTCCATTTTTCGTCATAATCTGGATTACCCAAAATTATCGTGAACGGTGCCTTTGAGTATTGACTGCTCCAATGATATTGAAATGAAAAAACCCGGAGTCAAAAATGAACTCAAAAATGCTGAGTAGAATTGTAATCAGGAGTTTTGGAGTACATCAATCATATTTCAGGTGTACTTTATGAAATACGATGGTAGTACCGATGTAGTGAAAATGCCGGCCAAGAGTAATTCCCCAGTAACTGCGCTGGCGTGTGGGAATTTAAGAGGAAGAGTTCGTATGAGGTAAGTGACATCATATATGTTTGAAGCGATTATTTATATGCATTTCCCAACTCAAAATGTGTTCTTGCACACATTCTTTTATATTTGTAGACCTGAGTTAATAGCTATTTCGGCCGATGGTTTCCTACAGTGCGTACATCCTCCATACAGCCATGCATCAAGTGTGTATAGTCAAATAGTTCAGGTCAGCATTTGCTATCATTCAGTGATAGGTAGGTCGTCAACAAAGGTCTTTTCAGTCAAATATCGCAGCAGCATACGTAACTGATGTTGACGGGGATGGGCAAGAAGAACTGGTAGTATTTATGACTGATAGAGTAGGTATGTATAACAAATCTTCTCAGTTATGAGCCTGATGTATTGAATAGAATGATTGCATAAAGGTAGGCTGCCGATGGAGGGAAAACTGTTAGTTTGGCAGTCCTCATGGATGGATATTTAAGAGCTCCAAAACCATCGTGAGGGTATAATATGAAATTATAAAGTAAGAATATGATTTACGCATACAGAGAGGCTGTCCCAAATGCTCGGCGCATCCTTAAAAAATGGTTTATGGAAATATTTTTATGAAATATTTTCCCCATTTCATCCTTCAAAGACCATCATAGTCAAAGAGGTACGCTGAGCTTGTGGATGGTGTCATTTGGCGTCATTGGGTTGTTCCCCAATCGACCAGAACATCACTAAGAAATGAAGAATCACTAAGGAAAAAAGACCGCCGACCTCAGCGCGTTTTCTTAATTGGGATATTTAACATGCTGGAAAGTGGGAAGTGATAAAGTTCTATAGATTTGAAAGCCTTTTAGAATTCCCCGTGCATTTGCTTTTATTAGAAATCTTCCATAGATTGAGTATAATCAAGCTATAATCTAGCTATAATCAATGATCCTAAAGTAAAGTTTTTATTTGCTCGGAGAACGTTTATACAACCACCACCTAATCTTACTTGCGGGTACCCAAATCACTTTTCCTTTACAGTTCGTACATTTCGCTGGAGTTTTGAAGACTGTCGTCTACACCCGATCAACAAATGGGAAGTACCTAATCAGATATCCGCGCTAGCAGTTGGAGAGTCAGTGTAAGCCGTAATCGGCTTTATTCCCAGAGGTTGTGGTTCATCGTTGAGCTAAACTTTGCTAGCGACGTTTACAGTAACAATTCACTCGATCGCAAAGTTAAGGCCTCTATTGAACCACAACTCTGATTAGGTTCTAAGTAGCGAGGATTCAAAAACAAAACTTTGCTCATGAATTATTATCAAGAAAAATTCAGAACATCTTTGCGTGGCGCTGAAGCATGGCTGTCACAAATGGGTGCGAGATTCTACGTCTGCGTACCTTTTTCGGGCCATCAACCCACGGTTATCTATCCACAAAATAAGGAAGTCGGGACCGACGTCATGTTAATTCCATTTCGATCGCATTACATCTACATTATCGGAACCGTTATTTCAAATGTTGTTATAATCGGTAAGCAATCAGAGTTGTTTCCTAACTGGCCGGCCATTAAAAGACGGTTGCTTATTGTTATTTCATTTTTGAAAGCGTTTTTACCGTTTAGTAACCAAATTATGTATGATTCGCCCTCCCTTTTGCCCAGTTCTTCCAAAAATTTTTCAGCAAATCAGAAAGAGAGAACATTGGCAAACCCTGGATGGGGAGTGGCTGCTGCGGCTGCCGTTCGGCACAAAAATTTCAATTGCCTCGTGACATTGGATATCACCGGGAACGTGCTTGTATATGGATATAATCAACGCAGTGTAACGGTGAGCCATATAACCCGTGAAAGAATTTTTGTGACAAGCCTAGGTAGACCTTTAATTCATCTCTACGCCAATTATTGAACTAAATTCTATTCTATTTCAATGAATGGTACTGTTCCTGGTGTCTGAACAAACCCCGGATAGGCGCAATTTGTCCGAATAGCGACAATAGCTGTTTCGAAAAGTCGCGTCTCAGCTGGAAACCCTTTTACCATAGTTCCAGGACTGGGTGACACCTTTTAGTCGCTACGTCCTTGGCTGCTTTCATAGTCCGCGAGCGCGCGAGCCTGCCGGGGAACAACTCGTCCGGCGGTATCGACCAAGATATAGTTGTAAACAAGGGGCAAGCGCCGCCACCAGTCGCTCGCTCGCGGGGCAAATCGCGGACTATGAAAGCAGCCTTTCTCCTCACCCTGGCTGGAACGATTGGAATATGACAATAGTTCTCTGGAACTTATTGTAAACAATCGACCACAAATTACATGAATATGTGTTATCACTGCTCAAATCCAAATGATAAACTGTTCCCCCACACCTCTCATGGCGAAGAAGGACGTAGGTCTTCATAAGATACTGGACATTTTTCATTGGAACATTTCCAGAAACCTGAGATCACCCCACTTTTATCGTTCAAAACGTTTTCGTATGCTACATATCTGGCAGTCACTCTCTGTGGAGAAGTACTTCTTATTGGTATGTCCTTTACAAAACACCACCCAAAATAAATCATTCTGAATGTTATTTTTTCAGCGGTGAAAGGCGTCGTGGGAAGTGTGGTAGTGTACGAGGTTCCAGTGAAAAATATTATCAACGAACTCAGTGTCTAATATGCGGGTTATGTTCTTTTCTGTCTAGTCTTTGATGAATGTTTTAAGGTAATTAATTCCACTGTATGACCTTTCTCTTGTTTAATTTATTATCGCAAACATATTTTATTGTTAATTGGTACTGAATATAAATTTGTCAGTTAAGTTTTTTATTTTGCACTATGTAATTACTGCCTATGCAAAAGTACTGTTATAAAATGCGCCATAAACTGGAGGTGCTCTTTATTCATTCATTTCTATCAGAAATAATACACATGAAATTTCTGATATCTACAGATAACATGGTGGGAAAAGAAGGGATCCAAATCCATAAGAAGAAGAAAAAGAACAGGTTTTGATGGCTTAAGAGACGACGGGGTGGGTGAGAAGTGGGGGGAGGGGAGGGGTATATTGTCGAGTTGTCGGGTTGTCTACCTGAGTGAACCAAGTCCTAACGACTATGGGCCTTGGCTATGGCAAAGGTTGCTTTTGACACCTTTATAAGTTCCATGAAGAGGTCTGCCAGCACAAAAATAACTGGAAAGGGAGTGTTTAACAAGGCGGTTTGCAACGTCGCAGCGAGCCTTTTTTTTGCGGAAGCATCCACTTTCTAATAGAAAGCAATGAAACTTATCCGATGGCCCGTTATTACCTCCACGGTTCACTGATCACAGTTGGTTTTATCTTGACCACCCCATCCGCCTCTGCGTGGCTGGTTACATGGCAATGGACATGTAACCAGCCACGCAGAGGCGGATGGGGTGGTCAAGATAAATGTGTTAGCCCTCTGTAGCAACTGTGCTGGCAATGCTGAGCATGAATCAGTGCCTTTCTTATTCGTTCCTGTTACTTGCTAAATTGGCCCAATAAATTCTGCACTTCGGGAGCACTCAATAGCTAGGCCCTCCTAAGTCAGGCAATTGATACTAGACTGTTCTGGGAGAATAAGAGCATGGAGATGTACGTCTACTAGCCTTCGTAAGGCAGTTCACGGAACTTTGGGTCATCTGGTTATAGAGGGGGACGGTACATTCGTGCGATTCGTGCTGCGCGCGACAAAGTGCGCGGCGAAATTCGTGGTGATTCGAACGACTCTGGCGCCTACTATTGGGGCACAACCTTGAAGTAGGATAGTTGAGTCAGCTGACCCTACTAATCTACTCTACTTGAAATTTGGGCCTCAATAGTGGGCGCTAAAGTCGTTAGAACCGATATGAATTTCGCCGCGCAATTTGCCGCGCGCAGTTCGAATCGCACGAATGTACGCACACCCATTTTTAGACGAACTGGACTACTCTGGCTTGCAACGGGAAAGAATGGAGTCGTTACCACAGCTCGCTCGATGAGATCGATAATCGCCGGGACGACAAGATGACAGTTTTAGGCGAGTAATGGAAGTGATGTTCATAATAGCGCAAAAGTTTCGAAGATGTGCCTTTGAAAAAGAAGTAATATTAGGGTTGGACTTGAATGTAACGAAAAAAGTTGCACGGAAGGGATAATGGGACGAACTGTTCAAAAGCGTACGCCATTGCATGAAGCTCGCTGCACTATGTTGCCTGCGTGTAAGGTTTGGGTCCCTGTGCGAATGGTGCAAGCTCTACAGCTATTACAACGCTCAACAACTCGTCCTCCTTGAATGTGTACCTCGGCTAAGCTGGGTTTGGGAGCTTTTATTAGGCCCTATTGCCTGTTGCCTGTTTTTCGGCCCGACAGCCTCCCGTGGGCTATCCTTAGGGGCAACAGGTTCATCCTGAGGAGAAATCTCAGAAACCGTTATCAACGTGCCTTCAATGAATAGGCTGAATAAACATTCAAATGTCACCGGTATTCTTAAAAAGACATGTGGTGGAGGACCGAGAGCAAGCAGAGCAAGCAGATGCAAGTACATCATTTATCCTTCGTCTTTTTTGACTTTTATTTCTGAGCTATCGGAATCACCGTATCCGTCGCTTTTTTCACGGGAGGTTTTTGAAAGTTTATGGGGCTCTACATGGCCATTTACTTAGCGCCATTAATTTCTAATGGCGCTAAGTATTTCTTCTGTTGTGAGCTGAAGTTTTATCGAGGCTGCTGCTGACCCTGTTCAGCAGACCAGACCACTTATTCCACTTATTTCAGTCTGGGCATCGGGGGTTCTAGTACTTCTGTGTCTGGGACACCTCCTTCTTATTCGTTTCACCTTTATGTGCAATTCGAGCTCATTCACTAATCTCTAGTTGACAGTCTTTATTTAAGGTCTCTCCAGCCGGTCCTACTTTCTTGCCGCCAACTTTACTCCTCCAAAGGCACCGAATGCGCCCTTCAACTTCCACTCCCTTCCCGCCCACTTATCGGAGTATGTGTTTCGCTTCATGCACTACTCTCAGTCAGAAACTCGATCCGCTCAACTTCCCATTTCCGCACGGTATTATGGGGCTGTTTTTTGATTTCTGCTATCGACTGATGTCATCGATGTTGCTATTCTCAGCTCTAACTTGTTCCTTTACTCCAATGCCAAGGTTCAAATGATAGGGAAAAGGATCCCATACATTTCTACCCGATATTTCATATGTTAGCAAATGAAAAAGTGGCAAATAATGCCGTTATCACTAAGATAGCTCTTGGGCTCTGGCCCTTTGCACCTTTGAAGGGCGACACTCCTGTGAAAGAGAGTTAAATGCATGGCCTCGGATTGATGAAGGTCCTTTTCTTGATCATCCCCTTCATTCGTGATTATTACTGTGAAGCCATTCAATAGCGTAAGCTCTTCCTGAGAGAATTTCAAAGGTGCTCACTTCCGGAGCATCTCCAGAAAAATGGAAGCCAGGCTGTAACTCATTCACTTCACCGTGGCTCTGTCACTGAATGCTTCATTACTTAATCCTACAGACAGCTCTATAAGCCCATTTGAATAATGGAAGCCCGGACTCCCTTGAAATTCTCCAAGCTTTGTCATCCAACCACAATAGTAGCAACTTTAAGTAGATATTTGGCCTTCGGCACAGGTTTGGATGACAAGTAAACCACAGTCTCTCGGTGTGCATCAGCTCTCTGAGGTACGCTCCGCATTCGACTTCCACTTAGATTCATAGTGTCTTTATGAATGCGAGTGTGCTCTTCACAATAACCTTCGGTGGCCAGCCGATGTACCGTTCAATGTTCTTGTACTCGCAGACCAGTCTGGGAGAAATTGATCCCGAATGAATGTGGAATGCTTCATCGCTTGGGCGGGCACCCGCGATTCCATTTCGGACCGTGCATGTAATAGTCCGCCAACTGGTACAAGACCCCATGAACCCTCTACGCTCAAGCCAATCAAAGGGAGCACATTGAAGTAATGATGAGATCCTGCTTGAAAATGAAAACAAAAAATTTATCAATTATTTCAATATTAGTGATGCTCGCATCAAACACCTCCCTCCCTCTCCCTCCCCCGCGTAGCCGTTCTGAAGTTTATCGCCTAGAGCAAGAACACCATTTTTTTCTACCGGGTTCAATAGTTTAGCAGATGCTGGCACTTTGTATGCTTTCTAGCTTCACACAAGACCAAAACCTCTAGTTGATTCCGAAAGATCCGAGCATTCGTAAGCTTTCTTCTTGTCATCTAATTGATCCCACTTTTATTCCGTTTGAAACAATTTCCAAGAACAGTTGGAGGATACGGTATGAAATTGTAGCCCTAATTTGTACCGGTAACTGGAAAAGTACATTCAAAATGAAGTCAGCATTGTTTTTTTTTCTGGAAGTTGCCAAAAAATGCAATTTCCACCGTAATCATTTTGTCGGAACATAGCTTTTGAATGCAGACAGAATGCTCATTCTCATTAGACATATGTAACCTAGAAGTATGCCTGGTTCGGTCTTAGATCTGCTATATGTCACATTCTCCCTTATAATGCCTAGCAAAGAGGCATTCGAATGAAATGTTCGAATGACAATGTTTCAAATTTTCTAGACAAGGATGCTTCAATCCAACATGATTGGAGTAAGAAAGGACATGGGAAATTGGCTCCCTCTAGGGATACAAGTTCTGGGCGTTTCTACCAACTACTAATTTACCACCTCGTCATCATTGGTTCATATTACTCAAAGAAACCTAATCAACAACTATGAATAAGCTACTGTGGACCATGGGCTGCTTTCATAGTCCACGATTTGGCGAGCGAGCGACCGAGCGACCAGTGGTCGCGCGTCTGATCGCGCGAGCGATCACTTGGCGGCGTCTATGGGTAGCGCCGTATCCTCGACCGTTCACGCGACTTATAGAAAGTGCTGAGATCATTGGGAGTGGATTTGCGACAACAATCGAACAATAGCAAAACTAATGGAATCGACAATCATTTCTGATCGTTTCGAATGTGGGAGATCCAATTTTTTAAACCCACTGCTCAAATCGGAAGTGGGCAATCATTTCTGCTTCAGTCCGGCACTGTCACTGCGGAAACTGCAAACTTCGATCTCGATCTCGACTTTCGCGAGATAGTTGAATTGGACTAGGAAGGATCCGAAGAAGGGGAAGGCAATCAAAAAAAGGGCATTCTTTTAAGACTCCAAAAAAAGAGAACCGAACGCTGGCAAAAGCCTTCTGGACAATTCCGAGGCGGGAGCGCACAGGAGCAGTCGAATGACTTTTAAACATCGAAATAATCGCATCTACGCTATGTTGTGGTCAAATGCGACATGCACTAATGCTGCTAATCTGAATCTGTGAGAATGTTTCGGTCGAGTTAGATGCTACTGAAAAAACGACGCTCGCATTCCCCCACAGAGCAAAGTAGAGCATTTGTATATACTAAGGAAAAAGCTCTTATCTGGGCTCAACCAGACTTTATCAGCAACAAAAGTGTTGTCAGTGGAGAGGTGGTCTTGCCCACAAAACCATGGCTTTCTGGATGTGTTGCAAGCACAACTTTCCAGGTGTCGCCCTCTCAGTTAGCGATTCCTCCAACTGCTTGATTTATCTACTTGGAACATCTGCAAAACCAAAACATGCGCAAAATACACCGCAACCTCGGTTCTGTGAAGACAGTTTCCACAATCTTGGAACGAGCTGTACGCCGACTGCCTTTTTGCCATAGACAACGAGTTTTCGGACATCTTCGAGCCAGTATCGATTTGTGAAGAAATCGTGCCAAAGCAGTACCCCTTGTTAAATTTTTTGAAGACTGAAGCAATAAAACTTGTTCTTCATTTCGGACTGAAACAATGGCTTTGCGTGGCTTTTACGTTGCTCTCATGATTTTGCCTCACCCTGTGAAATATAAAAATATCAAGAGATAAGAAGTTTTAATAAAGTCGATTGATCGCCATCGACGAATCTCTTCTAGAATAAGCCACATAATCAACCTTCATTTGGGAACATAATAGCGTTCCATTACGGTCGGGTAGTAACATACGTCGTGTTTTGTCCCCTTACGACTAGACAACTCCGGTACCTACGATCTTGACCATGAAAGACCCAAGGTTTTGGAAGCTTGCATAAAATTCAATCCTAATATCCCTTATGTGAAGCGATAACCGGTGCTGGAGGCCCGGCAAACAGAAATTGAGATCATCTTGATTTTCCAGCTGATCTGCATACCCCTACATACATTCAGGGGTGAAATACTTCAGAATTCATGAAACTTGGAACGGAAGCCTACATAAATCGACAGAGTCCGAAGTGGTTGTTGAAAATACCAAAAGAGGCCAGGCCTGGAAGTATGAATACAAAAATTGCCATTTGAACCTCCCGAACATAGTCTGCCTAAAAAGGTTCCCGTGTTTGCAGGCTGGTTCCCTTGATGACGTTGGTTTCCAACTTGTGCTAAATCCACAAACAAAAACTTTCATCCCAACTTCTGATTTTTATCCCAACAAACGCTTGATTACAACTAGCATTTACGATTGTTTATTGAAGACGAAATGAAGACTATCATCCACTATTGTTTATTGAAGACGCACGCCTTTATTGGAGACGCAATGGCTTTGTGAGTAAATTGTTTTATTCTCAGCCAAGACTTCATCTTCAGGCAAACATTGACTATTCGCTACTCGGTCAGAGGATTCAGGTAGTAGCGTTTATTTCTATCACTGTAGCTAACCCTCAACACTATCGAATTTTTAAGATTCTAACTTAAAAATCCATCTATTTGAAAATGTAGCTATTTTTTGATATAAGGTTTTTTTTGAAATTAGATATGCCATTTGAGGTATTTGAGCCAGAACTTGTCAGAAGTTAAAGCCCCTCAGGCGCGATGGATGAAAATCCCAGTTGCCTCAAAGGTTATCGGTCTGGGAGATCGGAGCCGTAGAATATCAAGAGTGGTAGCAAATTTACAATTTACTACAGCATTGCACCAATTTTGGCGACCAAGTAGGCCATTATAGCAAATAATTCTTAGAAAAAAAGTAAAAAAAAAGTGGTTATGTGGTCCATTATAGAGAAGAACAGCCACAGTGGCTCAATTTGCGTCTCAACCTACATAACTTCCCCTACCCATACCTACCTTTTTACGCTTTTTTTTTTGTTACTATCTTTGTTTACTAACTGCTACTCCATACTACTACCCTTACCAGGGAAGGGTATCGAATGGACAGACATATAGACAGAGATGAATAACGACAAAGCGACAAACAATGGACAAACCAAGTCACTGTTTTGTTCCACCTATCACCTATTCATCTACTCTTTGGAAATTCAAGAAAGCCATTGAGCGCCTTCAAGCAGGAGGTGTGTAAAGGGGAAAGGAACATATCCACAACGCAGTTTTATTCCTAGAGCGACGGACTGATCCTCCTCTGTTCATACTTGCGAGACTTGCGAGGCCTTACTTATTGGCGCTATAATGCTGTTGCAAACAACTCGTGGGCCTTAAACCTGCACTTTTAACTTACTAGTTATTCATTTTGTATAATACATACTGCACCTGCGACAAGATTATTAAAGAATTCTTCGGTAGACGCAGTTTCAATTTTCTGAGAGCACCTGTTCGCACTTAATAGTGATTTCTGGATCTTGTTAAAAATGCGCTGCTATTCACCTATTTTACCGAACCTAACCTTGAATTTTCCTACAAAAGTTCATTCACCCAATGAAGGTAGGAGAAGTGGAGCGGTCGGAAAAAAGGTTCAAGCTCTTGCTCTTCCCATCCGTGAATATTTAGCTTTTCATCTGTTCGGTTCATAAGACCTCGGATCTCCTTTTTTGAAGGATCTTTAGGTTGCTGGCGCGACTTTAGGGGATGGGTAGCCCGAAGTCCACTCAGATAGTTAGGCCTCATTCCAGTGAACCCACATAATTTGACATCATTCTCTTGAACTTGAATAGCCCAGATAGCAGGGAAGGACTGTAGGGAAGAGGCTTCCCAAAAATCAGGACCGAAGTAGGATGCTCAAACGCCTGCATCGGAAGTGTGTATCGAAGTTTCGGTGAATAAGGCTAGAAAGATTAGGTACGACGTTATCGGAATGACTAAGGCGAGGGACACTGCCCTCTGGCTCGGCATTTTGCCTCGTATTTTACATAATGAGTAATAATGGTATATAAATATTTTCTACTGATCGTCTTGTGCATGGCACAGTTTCTTTGAAAAGTGTTGTAAAGGAATTATTCCATACCCAAGATGATTAGTAGAAAATGCGAACAGCAGGAAATATCTCCACGACAGGTTACAGAAATGACAGAAAGTGCTGGTGGAGAATGGGCTTCGGCTGAATGTGCAGAACACCAAGTTCCTCAGCTCGGAGGAGCGCATGGAGTCAATTGTAGTTCTGTCGGTGAAGAAAACGAAAAGGAACTACGATACCTGGATTGCAATTTCTGTACCCTGTCCTGTACTAGATAGTCACTGACGGTAGCGTAAATCAGGATGTGAAAGCCCGAGGGAGGTGAGCGGTGTCATCTGCTACCGACGGTGCTCCAGGATGCTCAAAAGAAAGGTGAACCGGACAGTATTGGGGCTCACGATGCTCTACGGCAGCGAGTGCTGGCAAAACCAAGCAAGAAAACTCAGGTGAACTCCACTGTAATCAGTGCTCAGATTGGCCTGTGGTTGGACTCGGCTTGATCCGGTTACGACGAGGACACTGGGCATTCATGCAGCCCTACCGTTGTTCATCGTCGAGAAGTCAACATGATGAACGACCTGGCACTTGAACTGAGCAGAACGGAACGAGCGCTGGGCAGACCTTTCGAGATAATAGGGATGGAGACAATAATAACAGAAGACGGGGGGCTCCTTGCCCACATTTTCGATACTGCCTTCCGATGATTCATGCTTCAGAGACTTGCACCCTGGTAGGCTGAGCATGCAATCAGCGTCATTCAGCGGATTGTGAAAAGGACAATCTTTGTAGTTTTCCGATACACGCAGTTGCAGAGGGGGGTCCAAAGTTCCGAGCTTCGTCAACAAACTAGGATTAGGAACGCTGTCGCCTACGCCAACGAACCGAAGATGTGGTGAACCAGACGCTTCATGCGATTCAGTGATGACTGTTGGACCAGTGCGGTTATTGACGGGATCCTCTGAGATGCCGAGCGAACACCCTGGCGGTCGCTATCCTGTCGGTCAGATCCCTTCGCGGAGGCTCTGGACCATAGCAATAGTATGCCCCGCATCCATTGAGCGAGGAGGGGCGCGGGACTCATTAGCCCGATTTAGGGGCAACAGAAGACGTTACTGGTGCACTTTCGAGCTAATTGAGAACCAACGGTAACAGTCTATGAGTGGCACTCAAAAGGATTTTTGGGATTCATCCACAATGGTATGGATTGGAAAAATAAAACCTCAACCAAAACACTTTCGAGATAGTCGAAAGTAAGTTTTAGCTTCAAACAAAAAGTGGAAGTCCGAAAAGCGATTTCACAATCTGAAATAAAGTCGAATGCATGGCGTACCAAAAAAGTACCCTTGGGATTTAACCTACACGAAGCGTAATAATGCGACCATGGTAGCACTTTGAAAGGTGTTCGCAAAAAAATTTGACATAAAGATAGAAATCCACTTAATTCATCTGAACGCTTATCGAACCGCTGCTCTGATCTCACAGTCAGACTCGCCACGCTAACCGTGAACGCCATTCATATCATTTTTAGCAATCCCTCACCTACTTCCTACACTTTTCTTCCCAGTTACTCCCATAGCAGCCCACTCGCCTCTTTTTTCAGCAAACCTGAAGCCCATTTCTAGTCTGAACATACACTGCAATTACGTCTGCTACCATTTGCAAGTAGGCCGTTATCGTTTTCAGTAGTTAAGCTCGTTATTTCAAAGTTAATTTCGTCTTCTGAATGATTAAATGGATCGAGAGACGATGGCTTACGGGTAAGCTCGCTTTTGAAAGTCGGTAATTTTCTAGTGAACCCATAAATTACCACCTTCGCTCAGTACATCCGCTTTTTTTTGTTAAAACATTCCGCTTGAGTTCCTTCTGGCAAGATTGGCCTACCATTAAAAAGAATTGAGAGTGAGATAAATTTACTGAACAGAACACCAACGCACTTCCGATATCCAACGATTTCACTTCGTCACGCAGCAGCGCAAGGGCGGCGCTTAGGCCTCACGGATTTTTCAGTGGGCCCGCACTCAAAGTCGTCACCATTTGTTTATTTCGTTTTTTTCTTGCCACACAGAGAAATTGAGCGATTTGTGCTGGTCATTCTCTCTGGCCGATGCGTTACCTCTTCGATCCCCATTCCAGTCAAGATAGTATGTGAATAACGTGATTAGGCGTCGCCCGACTTATCCAACTGTTTTTCGTCTTCCGAACCAACCCGCATCTCCCCTTAGCAGACTCCTGAGGGCTTGCAGGTTCTGCACTATCGCCTTGGATTCGATCTGTGATTCAATTCTGGATTTTGAAATCTTTTGCCCCTGATAGACACTCCTTGCCCTAGCCGGAGTTGATAAGATGATGTGACCGACGCTCCCTTATAGTGTTTGAGTGCATCGTACATTCTTGAGGTCCATGCTAATGAACATCGGCCGGACCAGCTAAGCCTTTCTTTCTATTGCCTGGAAAAATGGATATACCTGCTCTACAATCGGCTAGACCTTTCAAATCATTGTCGATTCCGAAATAAACCCCAGGCTGGAAACATGTTCGGGTCGATCCATGAGCGCATCCCAGCAAGGGACTGATTCACACTGTATATGATAAAAGGTTTAATGTCCACCAATCCCTTACAAACTTTGCTTCGATTCAGATTCGTGCAGTCATCTGAGTGGTAGTTCGCAGTCGACAATATTTTATTGACTATGATACGACATGATCTCTCTTATTATAAAGCAGAAACTTGGTGTGTCGGTTTGTCGGTGTGTCCGTCCGCAAACTTTATGATTACGATAAAGGCAGTGATATGGATAACCCAGCTCTATCCTACATTCCTCTACATTTCTNGGGGGGGGGGGGAGGCATTTCTAACTCATTAATAAATGTAAGGAATGAGGGCCCGGCGAAAATCGGGCGGCCCAACTGGTATAACTAAAAGATAAAAGTATAATGAAAGATACGGCAAAGAAAGCGAGGTAGTATAACATAAAAATTTCCTTTATAATATAAGTATTTTCTTGAATCTATTAATTAATGCAGCGTCTCCAACTGACTCACTTTCTTCCAGTCCTCTCAATGAGAACCCATTTTGTAGGGGATTTAGAAAAGTTCATGCGATCATTTGTCTCCTAAGCCGCCAGCGTGCCACCGTCAGGCATCGAAGCCGGCATTGTTGAAAGATTACTGTGAAGTTTTGTGGCCGTTTAGTTCGAGGGGGGGCCGATTGATTTGAGAGGAATTTCCAGGATTGGGAGGTCATAAGGAACTAATTGTAAAGGGGAGCCATAACCATGGGAGTAGAGAGAATTAGAATGAGTTGGATGGAATCTCTGTAGGGGAACATACGAGGCGATTCTCCAACCGTGTAGGAGTCATTTTCCAGCCACGACTACGGACACTGTGCTAATTTGGGCTCCCATTCGAACAAAATGGTTAAGCTTCCATATAGAATACATCAATTCACACAATGCGGCGGTTATTCAATAGAAAAATGAGAAAACCGCAGAAAAGTCGGGCCATTAATCATAGCTTTTAAGAAGTAAGGATTGAACCCTATAGGTGACACCAGCAGGAACACCAAAGCGCCCAGAAATAGGGTTACCTGATGGTTCTTGGTCAGCGACGGTATCTGCTGTGTTACTCGAACTTCCGCCTTCGTGCAGACTATCATCACCCACACACACACACCCGTGGGGTGATATCATTCCGTGAGTGTTGTGTGCAACTACTCTCTGATATTCAACATTTCCGATTCAAATACGATACTCCATTAACACATCGGAAACTGCTATACCTATATAAGATTGGACAAAAACGGAAGACAACACTCAAGTCATTCATCGCCGCCACTTCATCTTCAGCCTATCTACAGTAAGACTTTTTCATGGAAGAATATTTTACTGCAGTTTCAGTTGTTCAGATCATATTTCTGGCTATCTCACGATACCGCTAAGCTTCATTGCTTCCTGTAACTTCGCTCGGAAGTTCCAGTAGTTTTTCACTTTCCTGAATGAATCAATGATTTTGGGCAGTCCCCCACCTCCAGTGCTCCATACGCTCCAACAAGGCACTTATAACCAATCATCTTGAGTAAATTGACGGCTAACTAGGGGGCATGAAGCGCCAGCTGTTTCTAGTTGAAGGATGGAAATAGACCCATTCCACGATGTGGGAACCCCGAGAGCGTCTCTGGCCATCGAATCATTTATTTTCTACGAATCCACGATTTATCTCAATGTCTGGGCTCTAGAAGCCAGAGGCCTGCAGACCATTTAGCTAATAGGGACCTCGGCTAAATGGCGACGACTCGCGTCATTACAGTAATGCGAACTGGATGACTTAATCTAGTGATTTCAACATTTAAATGAAATTTAATTAAAATATTTCAGAGAATTTCGATGTATATGGAGTAGGCTAGTTGATAAATTCTCAATAGAGTCGGTGGCAGGTGAAAAGCTGATTGTAAGAGTACAAGAATGACGGTTTTAACTGCTGAGGATCACTTGTAGAACTGAAAAGTTCGTTCTGTTGCCCTGGGACAGGTGTTTCTGATCCCGCCTTTCAACTGAATGTCCTCAGCCATTTCACTCTACCCTGTCACCTGGTTTGTCCTTCTCATGATTGTGCCTTTATCTTGTGAGCGAAAATAGCTTCCATTGTGACAAAGTGGCGTCAAAGCTCTTAACGCTGATCAGTCCAAGTAAGCAGTGACGCCTGAATGACTCGCATTTGTCAATCAGTGCAAAAGTCAGCAATGTATTCGTCTTGGCGACCCATCTCCGATTGAAAGAGCGAAGGTATTGAGTCCACTGGCACTGTTCAAATCCGATTCCGAGATGCACCTCGTATTCGATTCTCAATCAGAATCATACTGATGTTTGAATGCTCACCTTGAACAATGACCTGGGATT